TCACAATAGGCATGTGCATAAAAACACGGACACGACTGTTGAAGCGTAACCGTTAAATAAAAACAATATTATCGGCGTCCAGACTTAGCTCCTGTTGGAGATCATTACCGACATATTGGTGAACGAAATCCTTGTCAGAAATATTCTTCAGAGATGACCCATCTATAAGATATGGGAATTGGCAACGTTTTCTAACACTGTGGGTCAACTATAGGTTGGTAAAAAATGTGACTTCACTTAGACTCACTCATTAAATATAGCTTGCGCTTAAGGCTCACTCGGACTCGGAATCACCAAAATTTTCTTTGACTGGACCAACGTTTTTAGATACTGTACAGTATCTAAAAACGTTGGACTGGACTCACTAGAACTCAAGCTCACCAAAATATTGCTCGCCCAGATTCACTCAAACTCAGGCTCATGGCTCAACCTTAGTCTGAGTGAATCTGTGTGAGTCGACTCGCGAGTCCCTTAGCCTAGAATTAGCTTGTTTGACCATGGTGTCAATGTTCTTCACCACAAATATCTCTCATAATCAGTGATCTTCTTGGTGCTTTTTATTGTGGTGCCCTGGAAAACGAACTACGAGTGGTTTCAGACGACTAAGGAAATGTTTTTAAAAATTACAAGGGAAAATATATTTATCAAGAACTTCCTCGGAAGAGTCGGTGGGTGGGAGCTCGAGGCACCACCCCTACGTTATTTACGCTTATGATAAGTAAATAGGGAGTTTTCGAATAGGCGCCCCAAATCAAAGCCCTTCGCGTATGGACGCTTTGGGTCAAGCAGGAGTGAGGAGTTTTCAAATAGGGTCTGCGGTGTTTTGGACACTCCTATTTTATGTCACTCTAGTCTTGACCGAGAGCCATCACTTTGGTGGGTGCCGTCACGTTTGTCTGACCTAAAACTTTCGGGGCAGGTTTTAGGGCTCCCACTCAATTCAAGAAATTGCGTTCCCAACCCGAAAGCAAAACGCGGTTTGGGTTTTGCGCACGCGCAGTGGCCTTGACGCTAATTGTTTGGGCCCCAAAAGTATTCAAAAACTTCCTAAATTTTAAATGGTGTATGCACAACACTACTTTGAATTACATCAGAGTCGACGTGAGCATAAGCGTGAATTGAAGTTAGGCTGATAAAAATTCTAGAAACGAGTAGATAGGAGTCCCACAGGTCGGCCAAAAACGTGCAGCTCAATCAGATTTACTCATTAAATATATTTTGCGCTTTCGGCTCATTCAGAGTGAGATTCACCAAAGTTTTCTTGGGCCGGAATCGCTGGGACTCACACTCACGAAAATATTCTTAGACCGAACTCACTGGGGCTCAAACTCACATATATTCACCCGGACTAACTCAGGGTAAGGCTCATGGCTTGATCTGATTCTGAGCGAGTCCCAGCGAGTCTACTGATGACTGAGTTTGGCGACGTATTGTGCCAAGACTCCCTGCCTGTCATCTTTTCGCTGGCAAGGGCTTCTTTAACTCGGCCCCTGAGGGAATAAATTCTGTGACTGTGGCACGTGGCCTGAGATAAGTTCTAAACCCCTGTGTAGAGTGAATCCAATCAAGAAAACAGCCTGGATACACTGCCCCTTGCATTTATCGTAGTGCTTGTGCTGTGGTGTTGCCCTAAATAGCATAGACGTTCCGTGTCTTCCTCCTTAAAAATAGTAAAAAAGTGTTTCTGGTAGGGCTAGTTCGTAAAACATAACTGTTAACAAGACAAACGAAAAACGAAGAAGGCGCACGAACACGCTCTTTGTAACTTTTTTGCAAGATTTCTTTTATTCGTACCCTCTCAGTTTACAGCTCTTCGCGAGTCTTTATACGGCACAAGCCTAATTGACTATTAGTAGTAGAACGGATAGCTAGGCGAGTTTGTATGTAAGTATAACTTTATTTAGCGCACACACAAAAAAACGGGACAAGAAAGAGGCAGACGAGCGCTAACTCACAACTAATTAATTTTTGAAAGGAAGAAAACATATAAAGACCTGAAAATCAGTACGTTACATGTGCAAGTCATGCGACAGGCAGACATACAAAGACATTGCTAAATAAAATTTGAAAACTATGCTCTCTATCTGTTAGAGCCACCGATGGTTGACTAAGACATTTGTTTTTAAACCTATGTATATGGAAGGCTTCCGTCAGTTCACGTGTTAGTTTATCTCTAAATATGTGTATCGCGAAACACGGGATCACAATGGCATGATTTACAATGATCTGACAAGTGTGAAAATGTTTTTTTTTCCAGTTATCCTGCTTTTTTTAGTCATGTATTGTTGCAGCGGCCACTCTTTCCTATGTATACATTCCCACAAGTTAGTGGTATCAGATATACCACTCCTTCTCGGCATTTTATGAACTTCAATTGTTCTTCTAGGCCAAAGCCACATTTTCTTTATCCTGTTTTGAGCTTTTCGCCAATGACCTGGCACAAATGTTGCATCTTAATAGGGGTGCTCAAAACAACACCGATATCATACATTTAGCGCTCGTTAGCACTCGTCTGTCTTTTTCTTCTCCTGTTTTTGTACACGCTAAAGAAGTTATATTATGAACTATTAGTAACTGGCATAGCTGTTTCTCTCCCTTACATTCATGTTCCTAGCGGATATAACTCAGGGTCACCTTTCATAGATTCTATTCGCAGTATGTTGTTGGACTGCTCTGTACGTTTCCGGGCATGCCTAAAAAGATATTCCTTGTACGCTGATGATCGTATATGTACATAATACTTTTTCCTGAAATATTAAATTTATTACTTTGTTAAAATCAAGTGCTCCGTCGCTCGAACAATGTCTCGTAGGTGCCACTTGCACATCTGCCATCTGAGCTATTGCATTTAGATTCACCAGTGAGAAATTCCAATCCATTGTTTACGCAAACAACCGATTGTTAATGCAGCAGGGCTGTTCAATTATCTGTTAAAATGTGAGAAGTACGTAAACGGGAAGTCAACGTATCATTGCTGCGATGTCCGCTCCTGTAGGTAGCATTAGCCTAACGAGCAAGAAAATGAAGATAAAGTGCTTAGCCAACTGCAAAGGTTTCGCCAACGTGATACCGATTCCCAACCCAATTTAGGCAATTAAAATTAGAATCGCAGGAAACGACAATCTCGAGGTATCAATGAGTTTTGTGCACATACTCCTGCACATTGATTCGAAATTGTATTCATCACTGTTTAGCAGCGTAGGTCACAATTCAACATGCCGTGCTGCTCCTTGTTACTCGGTAAACGAAACGCGTCTTTCGGTTGTTTTCTTGTAAACAGAACCACCCACCTGCATGCAAAACGTGTTCGACGTGGTCGCCCCACACTCACACTTCAATTGTCTTAAACATAACGCCGTAGACGCACAGAAGGCACCACAGTGATCAGCTCGTGTCGCACCGCGCAAGCCCTTCGGCGCGTGAACGATGGCATCTGTGGTAGAGTGGCGCAGCGTTGTGGTTGCTTTCGAAAGCGTATGAAGTAGCCGTATGAAGCAACGAAAAGTTTCATTGTTTGCCTTTTTTTCTTGCCCCCGCGAAAAATAGCAGGCTAGTAACCAGCTTTTTAAGACGGGCTCTCCTCGTTCTCATTAAACTTCTTCTCCTTCTTCTCCTTCTTCTCCTTCTTCTTCTTCTTCTTCTTCTTCTTCTTCTTCTTCTTCTTCTTCTGCTTCTTCTTCTTCTTCTTCTTCTTCTTCTTCTTCTTCTTCTTCTTCTTCTTCTTCTTCTTCTTTCTTCTTCTTTTCTTCTTCTTCTTCTTCTTCTTCTTCTTCTTCTTCTTCTTCTTCTTCTTCTTCTTCTTCTTCTTCTTCTTCTTCTTCATAGGTTCATGACTATGAGGAGCATTGAATTACTGTGCCCACATTAACCTAATGCTTTACAGAGCGAAACGTTTCTTAACAATCTGACTTCACTTTTGCTGTAGTTATCTAGATGTATGTATGTATGTATGTATGTATGTATGTATGTATGTATGTATGTATGTATGTATGTATGTATGTATGTATGTATGTATGTATGTACGTACGTATGTATGTATGCATGCATGTATGTATGCGTTGGTCCACAAATGAGGCCAAAGCACTCAATTAGTGTCACTTCAAACACAATCACTCGTATGATTTTTGCGCATCTATGCAGTAAAGCTCAAATGCTGACGTTTCCGGAGCCCTCCACTACGGCGTCTCTCATAATCATATGGTGGTTTTGGGACGTTAAACCCCACAAATCAAATCAAAATCAAATACTGACGTGAATTTTTCGAAGATATCTTAACGAGCTGGTCTACTCCAAGGCAACAAGTATCACGTTCCGCAACCACGGTGGTTCTTCCCAGCCCACAACACTATACAATAGAGATCAGCGCACCACATACAATGATATTACGAAGCACTTCTACCAAAGCAGGAGGGTCTACCCCCCTCATCTCAAAAAAAAAAACTACACAAAGTCCAGGCAATAACACTTAGACTCCTACAAACGGATTCATATCAAAGTTTGACCTTCTTTCACAAGGTTTACCCGGATACTTGCACTACCAGGTCATGTCCCTGTTGTGGGGAAGTAGCTAACTTAGAGCATATGCTCTGGCGTTTGGCCTCGTTCCTAGGCCGCGATCAAGCCAACCCGGTCAAGTAGTGCTCTGCCATCAGAAGCCCGAACAACGGGGATCAGCACATTCAGAGAGCCCACGATGCGGCGTTCAGGCTTAGCGTGCCCATCCCAACGTGGGCGAAGCTCATGGACTGCGTTCTTGTCATGTCTCTCAGGACTATAATGTTTCCATATCTGCCCATCCATCTTAAGCAAACATGTGCCAAAAGCCAGAGCTTTCATTTCCCCATTTCAGTACTTCGCAATTCAATTTAAATTACTTTTTTGACACTCCATTTGAAGTCAAACCACCATAGCCACAGGTAAATATTGATTCGCAATATGAAGCATATGAAACCTGAGCAAAAATAAAATCAATCAGTTCTCTCTCTCTTTTTTTTTTGCAGACGCTCCTGTTACGCCGGCGAGGAGTATGCAAGAATGGAGGATGCTATCCTTTTGAACCTGAGGGTCAAAAGCGCAAAGGAATTTTCAGACGAGTAATCACAAACATCGACAAGTTCGCCTCCGGTTCCTACAAAAAAGCCATCGATAAACCAGGCACACAATCTGGACCCATTGTGTCCGTCAATCCTTCCCTGCGCGGAATCAGTTCGAAGGACACTGTGAACGGCACGTCGCCCCCTGCCAGCAGCCAACCGCCCAGCTCTTCAGTTTTACCATCCATCAGTAACGGCACGAGCTCCTTGGTCAGATCAGTGGGCTCTGCACTCACGAGTATCTGGGTGCAAGCGTTTCCTTTTAACCTCAAAGCCGGACCTCCCAGGCGGCCTACTGCTGCCAATAAGACACCGTCAAGCACCCATCAGCAGGAACCAGGTGAATCGACAGCAACCAGCAGTGGCGGAACGAGCATTGCCGATGTTGGTGGAGCTGCACCAGTTGTGCCACCATCGCCAACAGAGGGCAGCAGCAACCACAGCCCGCTTACAAACAATCTCTTAGGGTCGAAACTTTTTAGCCGAATTTCACGACTGTCCCCAACATTAACTTTCACCAACAAATTATTGAAATTACCAGGCAAAGGTTCAGCGCCAGCTGTTGTCACAGGGACTCCTATTTCTCCCGTAGTTGAAATAGACGCGATAAATGCGACGACAATCAAGAAAGAAGTGCCTGGAGCATCCGGTTCAACTACAGGAACAATTTCAGTCAAGACCGGTGAAAGTCTGCCAACGGCGGTGCCACCAGCGCTTGGTAACACCAGTCAAATATCGACCCCAGCGGTGCCGCCAGGATTGGGGTCTCGGAGAGTAATACCCGGACTTTTGCCAGCAATAGTATTAGGGAGACGACTAGGGACACCGCTAGGCGGGAACAAGAGAGCAGGTATTCTAGGGAGTCATATGCCTACCACAAGTGCCACTGACGTTCAAAATTCACTGAATACCAGTGATGGAATGACTGGTATTGTGGGTGGAATGTCGCCCCCAAATGCGAACTCTGTGGGAGGTCCACCAGTATCTGCTCCAGCGGCACCAGATAAAAGCAGCAACAGAAACATACCATCAGGTACACTGCCAGCGTTACAATCGCTTCGACTTATATCAAAACTTCGGAGCACTGCAGCATTAAGAAGTGCTCTAAGTAAATTGAAACATAAAAGTTCCGAATCCAGCGGTGCTCCGCTGGTCTCGAGTTCTCGTGCAAGTCAAAAGGTGACGGTAACGAATGCAATACCTGGAGCGTCAAGTGTTGCAACACCGGTGAATTCTCCCGACGTTGATCGAGGCATGCCAGCCCTGCCAGCACTGACGGCAGAAGGCAACAACAAAGATGTCCCAGCCTTAGGGACACCACAACGGTTGAGCTCACCCGGAACATCATTAGGACTTACGTCGACAAGAGCACCGGGTAAAATACCAAGCACTTCACATGGTAAGAATCCAGGATCAAGTATGGTAGTGAAGAGCACGAACAATTCCGCAACTGAAATAGATGCGGGAAGCGGAGCGAGTAATAATGAACTCTCTATAAAAGCAGGTTCAACCCCCAGTACGTTTACAAACTATGCAACTAGTTCATCAAATGCCACGCCGCTGACGACACCTGCACGCAGTGGTAACAAAAACACAATATCAGGCGCGCCTCGGTTGACTTTATTAACAGGAACAACGTCCGAGCATAGTACTGTACTGGCGGTAAACAAAAGCCCTAGTGAACTTCCAGATGCGAAGACTCAATTGGGCATTTCTCCAGCGAACCCAAGTTTGGCGGTATCTGGCACCGGTGTAGAAAATCCGTCAGTAGCGACTATATCGACTAAAGTACAAGGTGATGCTTCACTTGTACCGGGTGTCGAAATTCCTGGAAGCCCTGCAACGCCTCCACATTCTGCAAAACCAAGACAACGCGAGTATCGCACACACTCCCGGTGCCTTCGATGACGTCCGGAAGTTCAATTACCCCCTCCGCAACGCCTCCAGTAACGGAATTCAGTTCTGCCCGGGCATCTGAAGTAGGGGGGTCGACCTTAATCAAAACACCGCATGAGACTGCTGTTTCATCTGTTGAAGGTGTAGCAGGGAAGCAACCTGCAAAAGCTACACCAAGCCTTGGTTCTCCAGTAGGAGGCGCGGTGGTAAGCTCTTTGAGCACAGCAATACGTGGCACAGAGGGAAGTATTCCCCTAGGACCAACTGTAAGTTCAGTATTACTGCCCGGCAGCACATCAACAGTCTCAAGGTCTGAAGAAACGCCTGTTACTAGTGGCAAATCGGAAGGAATGTCATCCCCAATATTATCAAAGATTCGAGGATTCAGAGCAGCCATCACTTCTCCAGTGACCGGTGGAGTGGGTGCACCTAGAAGACTTGTTCGCAATTTCCTTGGCATGGGAATTCGGCACAGACTAGTCAGGTAATGATACCGACCAAGGTACGCAGGTACGACGTCGAGCTAAGTTTATCCGATGAATTCATGTGAGTTCTGTAAACGATTCGGTCGGAACTGATTCGTGCATCTGCCCCATTAAATATAAATTCACGTTCATCTTGGGAACCTTTTGACTTGTAGAAAGTACAATCAAATTATACTGTCTTTGCAAGTTGAAAAAAACGGTCATAAATCTTTCCCGATCAATAAATGTATCCCTAAGTAAATAATGCGTTTTGCCTGTATCATTACAATTGTAACAGTTTTTCTTATAAGTATATTGTTATTGAAATACCGGGTAGCACAAAGCCACATCTCCGTTTTTCCTAAGATGAGCCACACGACAAAACGGGTGAAATATCGATCTCAGGAAAGATTTTTGCGAAACAGGGTCCAAGGTGTCACAGTTCCCAGCTTGTATGGCACTTATTTCGGGGTCGTTATCATTTATTAATCAGCCATCCCCCTGAAAAACTAAATGAAGACAGCTTCACAAAAGGGGTTCAAAAACCTGTAGGGAGGGTGCAGCTGGGCAGCTTTCGTTGTTTCTCTTCTGTTTTCTTTTTACAGCGAAAGCTGTATGTGGCTAGACGAAATAAAAAAATCACAGCATACCCACGCAATGAATGATGACTAGTGGGGCGAAGCGTTCATCAATCCGTCCGCGCTTCCATCCATCCGCCTGCGTGCCCGCTCTTGCGTCCGTCCGTGCGTCCGCCTGTGCGTCCATCCATCCATCCATCCATCCGTCCGTCTGTCTGTCTGTCCATCTGCTTGTCCATCCGTGTGTCCGACCATCCATCTAGTAAACCCTTAAAGTACCGCCATCTCGCTTCCTTTAGGGGCGAAGCTCCTTAAGGCGTGGGTTTGTACTTCCTCCGATGTATGTAGTAGTAGTAGGTAGTTACCGGTGGCACATACCCGCTTTATAGTGGGTATGTGCCGCAGAGGATTCGAGATGACGGTACTTGCAGTGTTCACTAGAAGAACGCATGGACGGACGGATGGACGGACGGATAGATTAGCAGACCAACGGACGAATGGATGAACGCACGGTCGTACGGACGGATGGACGAACGAACGGATGGACAGACGGATGGATGGACTCGCGAATGGATGCATGGACAGACGGACGGACGCGTGCATGGGCGCCTACATGGTCGCGCGGACGGACGGACCCATGCTCTCACACCATTGGAAGCGCTGTCGTTCATTCTCTTGCAGCCATGCCAGTGCGACCGCGTGCAGAAGTTTTAACTTCTGCACGCGGAGAGGGCACGGACAACTTACACATGGGGAAGGCACGGTCATACGAACGCCCAAACGGCAAACAACTTTCCAATCAAAGCACCGATAGCTAGGCCGTCAGAGAATGTTCGCTGGGCTGATGCAGCAGTCCTGGTACAAGAACAGGTCCGGGCCGTAAAACGCAAGCACCAAATGTGCACCGAGGATCCATCATTCAGAGCAGAGTGCGAGCGACAATGGCGAGCCGAGGAAACGGTGTTACTAGCAGAGTAGCGCCAACGTGGCACTGGCAGGAACGCATTCACCAAGGCCAACACCTGCTTTCGACAGGAGTTTCTCGAGTGGCACTTAGGCTTCGTTAGTGAGGTCTGCGAGCACCTGTGGCCACATGTATCAGGTTTACTGGTTAGCAATCTGCATGGAGTGCTTCGGCGGTGTTTTTTCCCTCCTCTCTTTTTCTTTTTCTCCTTGCGTTTTTTTCTTTTATTCTCTGTTTATTTCTATTTGTTTTTATCTCCCTTCCTTTCTAGCTTTTTCCACTTTTCTGCTTATTTTTCTCTCTTTTTCTGTCTTTCTGGCCCATGCTTGCTTTCCTTTTTTTCTATTTTTGTGCGTGATACTTCCTGCGTTAAGGCGAGCGCACTAGTCAGTTTTTCTTTCTGATGATTATAAGAGATTTCTAAAGGAAAACCCTTTTTTGTGTGTGTGCTCGGAATGTTTCAGAAAAAAAATGAGATAGCACAGAGCGCACTGTGTAGTGCGCCCTGTCCTATCTGAATTTTGGGGGGCATTTTGAGCACAAAACAAAAAGGGCGGGGGGGGGGGGGGGGTTCTTTTAAGGATTCAGCGCCGACCAGCCAAGGCATCTACGCAGTTAATAAATGATCATCATCAAGCTGCTCGAAGAACGAGAGGAAGGGGACTTCTCATTGGCACCAGAGCGTGCTTCATATACTACACATAGAGCATTATGCCGAGTAATGACGACAGCAGATTAGAGTATATGGCAACCTGACGTCCTGGAGTGTTCCGCACTTAAAACACTGACATTGCCCACGGCCGAAACAAATGCGCCATGAAATCCACGATTCATTCAAATAGCTTTGCTCCTCTGAGAATATGAAACTACCTCCGGGTTGAATAATGGAAGCACTTTCAATGTGTTCCTCTTAGAAGAGTGTGGGGAGTGAGTCAGTGAATAACTTTTTTCACATCCTGCAAGTCTTTTCGCTTGGTTCCTGCGTTTATGTCGCAATTTCATGGCACCACGTGGTGCTCCGCATTTGCATATTTGTTTATGTACCTACGTACTCTACAGGCACACATGGCTAGCACAGGAAAACGATCAACCAGGAGTGTGTGACAAATGCCAAAAGCTCATCACATTGGCCACGTCGAAGGAGTGCGTAGCACCGTCCTCAATAACGGCTGCATGCAGACGGTGCAGTTGACGTCAGCGCTGCAGTCGTCCATAGTAAACATGACAGAAAAAACTCTGGAGGAGCCTTTCACAATGTGAAGGAAGCTAGCGGCGTTGGTCCAGCGAGTCATCATGTCCCGGCAAGTTCCCGTGAATATCACCGCGCAGGTCATCGTTTCTTCTATAACTGCTGCCAGGAAGGTCTAAGAAGCCTTCATGCGCACGCCTCTGCCTCCGCCTGAGGCGCGCACATGAAGAGGTCGTCCTCTCCGCAGCCACTTTCAGAAACAATTGACGGTATAGTCAAATAAATACAAAGCTATCTCGCAAGCTGGGTGAAAAAATAACGCCATGCACATATACGAATCATTAAAAAATCTACTACCAGATCTAGGAAAAAATTCCGTTGACCGAGTCACAAGACATTTTGGTCATCAGTGCACGTTTAATAAAGCCTCCGCGGAAGCAATTAGACTGCGCCATATTTTGCCGACACAGGGGCGCAAATCCAAGCTGTGGAACTGGGCGTTATAATGATAAATAGTTAACGAGATAGACTTGAAGAGGTTGCTTTGTAGCTTTTTTTTCGTAGTTTATGTTGTAGTGGAGGAGGCAGATGAAGGAGGCTGCTACATTGAATTACCAAAACCAACTGCTTTATTCCATGGCCCACGCGTGCCACTTTGCGCCTACACCGACATTCTTGTGGCTGCATCGGCCAACCAGAACGCGACAGTGTCAACCCGAACGCGAGTAATATTTCTGATGATCATGGTGGGAAAACGCCGGAAAGTTCGATGACACACGAATTTCGCCATAGTGCCAGCCCATGTTCTGTTTTATTATTTTTTCTAAAGCCAGTCGTTTGGCATAGTATAATGGAGTGCCGTAGATACACACGCTAATTCTGCCATGTGAAGAATGCAAGAATGGTTCTACTGTAAACGAATTGGTCGCTAGAACATAGCCTTGGCCATAGATATAATCAGGTGGAAGGGGTTGAGTGTGAAACCCTTGAACCCTTTGCATCAAATTTATATTTGATGCTACGTAACTGACATATCAGCGGTCAGAAGACGACAACGAGGAAGTGGTCTGTTGGTTGTGCGTGCTGTCTTCCATCTTGGTCTTGGGCTTTCTATATTCGATTACCCGACTTTACACCTATTTACCAAGCTGAACTACTGGCAATAGTCCTTGCATTGCGTAAAGTGCCGCAAGATCTATCAGCGGTGAGTGTTCTAACAGACTGTCTCTCGGTCTGTACTGCCGTAAGCGCACCAACTTTTTCGCGTACCTTAGAAACTTTCTACTCGCTCATTCCTACACATGTGCGACTCGTCCGACTTGTTTGGGTACCAGGCCATAGAGGTTTAGCTCTTAAAGAGCATGCAGATGCACTAGCTGTATCTTCCCTTGATTGTCCTGTTTACCTATTTTGCCTGCTTTGGAATATATCACAGCAGCACGCTTTGAAAAACGCACAACGGCCAATAACTGAAAAATCCCCTTTGTTTGTATCAGACTTCCCACAGCTAAAGTTCCCTTGGAAGAACAAGTGGTGTTCATCAAGAAAGGAAGAAATAATTATTACCAGGCTGCGTTGTCGAGTCCCCTCATTGAACTTTTACCTTCACAGGTCGGGTCTGGCTCAGTCGCTTTTGTGCCTTTATTGTAATGAGAGGGAATCTTTGGAGCACTTCTTTTTGTCCTGCCGAAAATTCAAAACTCAAAGGGAAAATCTACTAGAAGAACCCCTACGAAAGTTGGGCTTAAACTTGACACTTCCGGTGATTCTTTCATTTGGCGCAGTCGCATTTGGATTCAGCCACAAAAGCTTGTTTACCGCTGTTACAAATTTCATACGAGAATCTAAAAGATTGGAGTGCTAAAAATAAGTAACTTCAGTTGTTTCATGTATGCTTTTTTTCTTTTTTGTATGTTTATGTTTCCTTTTCAATGTTTTTTTAGAAATTTAACACCTTTTTATTATTACCTATATTACCTAATTAATCCAACCCTCTCTTTCAAGAAGTGAATCAATTTAAAAAGCAAGGCACCGTCCCATTCATGGCCTATCCCCCTAGGTGGGTTGCGCCAAGATGTTGAGTAACCAACCAACCAACCAATCCATCTTAGTCGACGCCATACGCATCAGTTTAAATATAGATTTTAAATAGACACACCTCGTGTCGCTTTTACGTAACATCTTTGTGGTGGAGGTGCTGGGTACTTCCCCGTCTTCATCACGAAGCTCCGCAACGGCCGCATCATCATAGGTCCAACCATGTCACAGGTTGAACAACCATCGTCTTCACCACCTGTCCCTTCCGTGACTTCTACATACGTCGATCCACCTCCTGCTCGTGATCCCGGTGTATTTTCCGGTCAGGATGGCGTTGACGTCGACAAATGGCTCAACCGGTACGAACGCGTCAGCGCAACCTATAGGTGGGACCCGACTCTTATGCTTGCCAATGTGTTTTTTTTTACCTCGATGGCTCACCGCGAGTGTGGTTCGAGACGCACGAAGCGGAGATTACAAACTGGTATTCCTTT